CCAAACTAAGCAGCAAACCGATAATATGATGTAAAGCCAAGAAACCTTCTTCTTTACGGCTTTCATGGTAAGGATTTGATCGAGTTCCAGATACTCCACACCACCCAATATCCAAACTAAGCAGCAAACCGATAATATGATGTAAAGCCAAGAAACCTTCTTCTTTACGGCTTTCATGGTAAGGATTTGATCGAGTTCCAGATACTCCACAACACCCAATACTGTATCCAAACTAAGCAGCAAATTTGATCCTGGGTTCAGGAATTTCAAGCGTCTAACTAGTGAAACTGAAACCCTGAAGGATTGTTTGTTTGGAAGTTAAGCACAAAGCTACACAATGGGCTACCTGTGTTCTGCCCACCACTGGTATCTAGCGTTTTAAGTCCGCAGACATACTGCTGTGCCAATGGGGGGCCCTAAACGATTGAAACAATTTGTTTTACCTTGCTGCACCCTAACAGCTATAGTAAAGGAAATCATCCATCATTAATGTCATTCAACACAAATTACTGGAGCCAGTGTTAATAAAAACAACGTGGACTTTCGAGATACTCGATAGATAACACTAAGATCCCCTGTGAGAGCTTATCTTGGTTGTTATCCCCTTCTTGGCGGCTTTCTATCAACATCCTCAGGCTCGGCACAAGAACGATTGACATTGTTTGGGTGAACTAGGCCACAATTCAGTTGTTTTAGTAGATGGGAATAGTATGAAGCTTTGAAATGCTTACCAAAGTGTTGGAGAACACTTTGCAGTCAACAGAGGATTTCTCTAAGTTGGTATTTTGAATTGTATCTTACAAGGAACACCAAATAAAAATTCATTGAGGTATCAAAGACACAAATTAACTATCACTTCCACAAGAACTAGATTCAGGCCAACAACATCAAAATTCCATCTAGATCAAGGTATGTTGTGATATTCCAAGGCCGAACCAAGCATACAGTCACATGATCTTTGCAATAACAAGTGATTCGTGGACCTAATATGTGGAAGAGCAGGTGAAGTGATTTATTGCAAGCGGAATAAAATAAACATGACACGTGAAGTTGAACAAAACAAACTTTACTGATGAAGAAAACTGAAGAATGGCTGGCTAATCGTACCATGGTATAATTATTTAATTGTGCTTAAAGTTAAAGGAAATAAAGTAGACGAGAGAAACTGAAGATGTTTAAAGTACAAGAACAGGCTACTCGTGATGACAATGCAGCACAGGGCATGACTTCTACAACAAGAATGAACTGGATCTCTCAAGAAAGAAACGGTTATGTTTGATAGTGTCAAAAATGATCAGTGTTCTACATTCTTTCAATAACTGACCGATCAGAAAATGGAATCACTAATATCCAGAGGCATGTCAGCCCTAGAGCACTTCTACTTATACAAGGTAATGTGAGACACGATATAAATACTCCATGAAACAATATAAAGCTTTCTTGACCAAATCATTCTACAAAAATTGAATTCGCACAGAACCTCAACCGGATTTAGCATGTTCCGAATTACGCGTTAAAAAAAAGGTTTTAAATATGCGTATTTTTGTACGTGTGTGTGTTTTCAGCGCAAAGGTACACAATGGGCTATTTGAGCTCTCTCCATTGCGGGAAATCTAAGTGTGCAAACTTACTGCTAACCCGCCGGAGAATAAAAGAAGGGTGAGTATGTGGTACCTGCGTCCATACACGTGGTAATATTTTTTTTTTCCTTACTAGTTTTCGAATGAGTGTTTTAAAAGGATTCAATATTCAGTTTCAATGACCGTTTCAATGAGTATTCATCTTAGTTGTTAAAAGAAGAAAGTTATGAACGTTTCTTAAATACGATAAAAGAAATGTATGAAAAATATTAGTTTATAATAGAGAGCGAGTTCCATCAGGATACATAATCTGAAGTGTAGAACTTACATTCGGAAATACAAAGATACAATCTCTGAGTCTTGTATTTATTGTGTATCTATCAATACATTATTTTAAAGTTTTCTTGTAGGGAAGGAATGACACCATGACCATTAATTTATGTGAGATTGGAAACACGTTTTATTAAAATATTGAAAGTTGTTTTCATAGGCGTACGCAGAAGTTTTTTCTGGGGGGCAAAGTCAAAATTAAAGGACAATGGACCGGCCTTCAAAGTTTTGCCATTACAGTAAAAAGAATGGGTAAACTACCACAGTCAGGTTTGATGGGATTAATATTTGTAAAGTTAGTATAAGCCACATTACAGACTTGCAGTTATATATACTCCATAATAGTTGACCCTTATGGGATGTTTGCAAGACTGCGTCATTCTCTCTGATGTCGGTATTACCGGCAGGTAGCAACAGGTTGACCGCTATCACACTGTGTCAGGGCTCAGGAGATCTCTGAATGAGAATTGCCATGTCTAATATCTAAGAAGCCGCCGTGTTAGCGACGTTTTTCAACATTTAGCTACAGGGCAGGTATCTAGAGATTTTAAGTAAAACTGCTGAATTAGATTGGAATCAGATCTCTACTTGCAGTTAGTGAATTTTTATAAGCATCAGATCTTTACAGATAGGAAACTTTTGTCGTGTGAGGCTCATTACATGTGAACGACCAATTTCAGCCAACAACAATAGACTAAGTAATTATGACTAAAATTTTTATATGCATCAGATCTTTACAGATAGGAAACTTTTGTCGTGTGAGGTTCATTACATGTGAACGACCAATTTCAGCCAACAACAATAGACTAAGTGATTATGACTAAAATTTTTATATGCATCAGATCTTTACAGATAGGAAACTTTTGTCGTGTGAGGCTCATTACATGTGAACGACCAATTTCAGCAAACAACAATAGACTAAGTAATTATGACTAAAATTTTTATACGCATCAGAACCACATGTGTTATTATAGGTGTTCAAGTATGACTGTCAAAGTGAGGGTAAACTGGAATATTACTTGAAACTTCTAACAAAGGTTAGTTTTGAAACTATATAATAAAAGTATTCGTCGTGTACTGTTACTTTTCAAACCGTTAATTCGGCGTTTATATTACAGTGTAAAATGATAATAATAATAATACTTACAGGTTCACATTTTCCGATACAATATTTCACATTACACTGAAAGATCACTCCATACGACTCTGTAAAACGAAAAGCATCGAACATACTCTCCAAACCACTGCCTCTCTGAACAAAGCGAGGGAAGATTGTATTGTCAATGGGGCATCTGGAAAAGTAGAATTCAAATAGAAATACACATCAGAATTTCGAAGAGTGAAAATATTAAACCGAAGCATTCTCAAACATCGATTAATTTAATGCCAGTACACGTATTTAGATACTAAGTAGTTTTATTTTTTAAACATATGGTAGATAAGAAGTGTCACTTGAGGTTTAATGCAGTGTTGAGAATTTAAAGTAACCTTCGAAAGTAGCTTTTTCCTTTAATAAAATAATTAGCTTTCCGTAAATATAGCATTTATCTTACTTACGATTAATTATATTTTTAAGTTATCCACTAAGAATCTGAGCAACATATAAGATGTATGGAATGTTTACCCTCTCTCGTCAGTAATCTGAAAGGTGCTACTTCCATCTTTTGCCATTGCCACACAACTCCTAGCAAATATCCTGTAAGGTGCTGTGAAAAAGAACAAAACATTGTTTCTTGAATAAAAACAAAGTGCTATAAGAATTGTAGGTAAAACTTGCAGTTTCTTTATGATTGGATGTGTAAGATTGTTGTTTTTCTGTTTAAAATATTGATATGCTAAAAAACGTATTTCCTTTCCATCTTCCAAAAATTTACTAAAATGTAAAAGACCTAAATTTGGTTGTTTATCCAAACTGTCTCGATGACCTAAAGTATGACATCAGAATAATATAAAGAAAACTAGTTTGACTTACAGAAAAGATGATTAAAAAGCACATACTTTTATATTGCAACTACCAGCTTATCGGAACTTTAACGATTCATCAAATATTTCATAAGCAGAAACCTTGAACACAATTATAGTAAAAAAAGACAAACTAAATAACAAATAAAGTTACGGGTTCAATGAGTAATCAATATGTCAGGCTAAAGAATAAGCGAAGTGAGAGGTTAGAGAACGAACAAAGTTAAAGAACAGATAAAGCGACAGACTAAAGAAAAAAAGTGAAAGGCTGAAGAACAAGCAAAGTAACAAGCTACAGAATAAAAAAAAAAGACAGGATAAAGAATAAATAATATGACGGACCTTACAACAAACAAACTGACAGGCTACAGAACAAACAAAATGGCAGTAAAAATGATAGACTAAAGACGAAATAAAGTGACAATCTAATAAACAAACAAAATGACAGACTACTAACGAACAAACAAAATGACAATAAAATGTGACAGGCTAAAGAATAAACAAAGTGACAAGCTAAAGAACTATAAAGCGGCAGATTAAAGATTGAACAAAGTTACATGTTTCAAAAAGAAGAAAATGACAGGATAAATAACAAATGAAGCGACGGTCTAAAGAACAAAAGAAAGCGACAAGCTGAAGAGCAGTAGGCTTACTGTTGTCTGGTATTTCTATTAGGAAAGTTAGTTTGTCTCCTATTCTCACAGTTGTTGCTTCTCTTCCATCGGAACTAAGGATCGTGACCGTTGGCATAGGAGCTGGTGGTGCAGCAGTTACTTGCATGGTGTCCGGGTCTCTGGAATAACGAAACCTAATGTTTTATACAATTGGTGAATCTGTCTACAACCAATAGCGTAATTACAATAATATTATTCGTAAAGTTTTAATTATACATTAATTACAAATATAAAGATCCTTTACAATGAAAATAATTGTTGAAATGAAAAAAAAACTATCTATTAAAACTTTTAATTATGTTCTTTTAATTTTATGAAATGTCTTCTGTTATTATGGTTCAAAATACACCTTGTTTAGTCAAATTTCATAATAATCTTGCCATCCCATAATTAGAAAATATTATTTCACTCAAACATTTCCTGTTTAATGTACAACAGTCAAAAAATAAAATGTTGAACGCACGATGTTTCTCAATCGATTCAACAAAATAATTTTTATATGCCTTCGTTTTCACGGCTAATAATATGACATATTAATTGTTATCTCATTTTTAAACCACTTTCTAAGATTTATTTTATTTTATCTCTTAACTTTTATTTAATTTTTAAGTTTGTGTTTGTTTAATTTATTGACATATTTTTACATGCAACTGCCATTAGAATTCATTGCATAACTGAGTGACTAGAATTTATTCTTCTGAAGAAGAGTAGTGAACTATTCGAAAGCGCTCGAGTTTTGGTTCTCGTTTGGAAACTATTAGAATTTTTCATAATAGCTTTGGTGAATCAATGCAGAAAAGTCGTTAGGAAAGACTTTTGATTTTTTTACCTCACAGACATCATTTCAAAGGACACGTTTTTTGGGTTGGTTTCGTACGTACATCTAACATTGTAAATCTTGTCAGCTTTCGTCATTACAACACTGTGATGCTGAAGAACAATTGTGTTTGTGTAAACTCCGCCCTATTTATAGAAACGTTACAAAATTACTAACATTGTTATAATATACTTGCACAAAAACAAACTAGAAATCAAATAGGAAAATTGACAAAGAAGACAAATTAAATGTTATTAACAATAGAAGTAAACTGATAACTTTGTTATAACCTATGAAATAATAACATAAGCAACTGGACATGTCCTGATAAAGTTAATTTTGATGAGAGAAATCAACAACTTTTCTTTCTTTCTAAGATAGACTGATTTCGGCTAGTACTCTCCTTCATCAACCATCCCTCATCGAACGCAAAAACCTTTCTTATAGCTAAACAGAAATTACAGTAAAGACAGAAAACAACTTAAGTCACTTTTTAATAGTTTTCCTTCCGTTCTACATTGTGGAAGAATATTTCAGCTTCCTATTCAAAGGGCCGATCATTACGTGAAAGCAGTATGTTACAAAATGTCTTCTGAATCCGTGGCGTATATAGAGTATCTGGCGACAAGCTAATTTTTAATAAGTAACAAAGCTGTATAGAGTATCTGGCGATAAGCTAATTTTTAATAAGTAACAAAGCTATATAGAGTATCTGGCGATAAGCTAATTTTTAATAAGTAACAAAGCTATATAGAGTATCTGGTGATAAGTTAATTTTTAATAAGTAACAAAGCTGTATAGAGTATCTGGCGACAAGCTAGTTTTTAATAAGTAACAAAGCTGTATAGAGTATCTGGCGATAAGCTAATTTTTAATAAGTAACAAAGCTATATAGAGTATCTGGCGATAAGCTAATTTTTAATAAGTAACAAAGCTATATAGAGTATCTGGCGATAAGCTAATTTTTAATAAGTAACAAAGCTATATAGAGTATCTGGTGATAAGCTAATTTTTAATAAGTAACAAAGCTGTATAGAGTATCTGGTGATAAGTTAATTTTTAATAAGTAACAAAGCCGTATAGAGTATCTGGTGATAAGTTAATTTTTAATAAGTAACAAAGCTATATAGAGTATCTGGTGATAAGTTAATTTTTAATAAGTAACAAAGCTGTATAGAGCACCTGGTGATAAGTTAATTTTAATTAAGTAACAAAGCTGTATAGAGTATCTGGTGATAAGTTAATTTTAATAAGTAACA